TTCTGCTGGATCTAGCATCATATTCTCTTCTACCTCCAATCACATTTCTTTCTTTTGTCCTTTTTCTGTGAATTATGAATTGACATTTTAGTGATATCTTCAAATATTCTCATTCTTTTTCTGCGGTATCTTATCTGCTTTCAGAACCCTTCGTGTCACTAACTGTCTCAAACATCAGCAGCTACATCTCAAAGCATTTGTTTGTCCATTTCATGATATGAGGACACATTCTTCTTATAGAGTCAGTCAGTGTTCTCTAAAATCTCAGTGAAAATAAAAGAGATTTTTTTCTAGCATCTCCTGTGTCTGATAATGACTTTATATCACAAACATGGCCTGGTTTCTTCACAATGTTCACCTTATTTTGAGTGATTGCATTCTCACACATCCACTGATCTCTTTTCCTCTGTGTTAAACCTGGAAGTGGGAGATTAGGGAGTCTCCCCCACATTCAAGGTCACAAGGGACCATTTAGATTTTAAAAGTGTCAAATCTTCTAGGATATGGTGAAAGAACACGGGGAGAGTTTTTCCATCCTCTGGTTCTGTTTTGCCCAACCAGAGACAACCTGAGCAGGAAGTCTGACTACTGACCATAGTGGGGTTTTTTTGCCCTGATGCTGCAGCAGCTGCTACAAATACAGTAATGTCCTCATTACCTAAGTGGATGACTGTCCCCCGCAGCATGACTTCTCATTTATTCAGTGAGTCACTGCATGAAGTGGAAGCCAACTGTGTGTTTCCATGCTGCTTCTGGTAGGCTCCAGAACCTGACACCCTAAATCCAGAACCTGACACTCTAAATCTTCCCCTCTTGAGGCTCCACAGCCATGCCTCACCTCATCTCCTGACTTTTCAGGTTAGGATATACATCATACAGTTCTAATGGAAGGTTCTTCTAGTTGCTCCCAAAGCAGGCTTATTCTGCACGTTCTATGAATTCTGGGTTGTCACCTTGCCTGAGTGGCAGTTTACTTTAACATGACATAGTATTAGTATCATATATATGAACATAAATTAACTCTATATAAACTAGGAGGTGGTTAGGTATCATCTGAAATACTGTAGTCACAATCCATACTTCAGGGTGGTTATTTAAGAAAGATATGAAGATATTCCTAATCAGGAATCAACACCTTTAGAGATGGTCTAGGTCTTAAATTATCCTTATTGAAAACTACTTAATTCACACAAAGAATAACACACAAATTTTTAATTTATTGGAAGTATTTTGAAGGCCTTACCACACTCTCATGAGTAAATTATAAAAATCCGACAAGCCTAGAAGCCTAATGCCATGATGCAGTGTTGCTAACACGGTAGATGGCCCTTCATGATGACATAGCATCTAGCAGGGGAAGAAAACAAGTACATTATCACACATTTCCCTTAGCCCACAAAGAAAAAGCACATGATATCATGAGTCCACAGATAAAGGGTGCCTAATCCCAATTGGAGTAAAGAACGAGAATCAGGAAAATTTTCCTGAAAGAAGTGACATTTAACCTGAGACTCAAAGAATGAGTCAAAATTATATAGTTAAAGGGAGTATATAGGGATATATATACATGCCTGGGAGAAAGGAGGTAGATTACTGCTTTGTACATATCATGTGCTCAATAAGTATAGGTCAGGACTTGGATCAAAAAGACTGTATAAAGAGCTAAAAGTTTAATGTTCCTAGCAGAACACGGGTAGATGTGGTATTCTGAGATGTACAGAAAAAACAGAACATATATCCCAAGTGCCTAGAAGAGTATCCGGCACATGGCAAACACTCAGCAACATTTGCTGAAAGAATGAACATGTAAAGACTCATAGACCACACTGAGGAACCCAAACCTTATTGTAATAGCAATGGAAAGTTACTCAAATATTTCATCACAGGAATGATACAATCAAGTCTGCATTTTAGAAAGATCATTCTGACTACAGAGTGAAGCAAGATTATAGCAAGAAGTTTCTTTGGAAACTGTTGAGAAGATGGAGGAGAGAGCCAGTGAGAGAGCAAGAGGTAGATATGAGAAAGGAGAAAAGAACCCAGATTGGACAGACTTGAGGAGACAGAATCATCATGGCATGACATCTGACTGGAAGAAAAGACAAGAGGAAAGGAGATGAGAGGAGAGGAATAGAGAGGAGACTAGGGGAGGGGAGGGGAGGGAAGAGGGGAGGGAAAGTGGAAGGGGATGAAAGGGAAGGGAGAAGGAAAAGGGGAAGGGAAGGGAGAAGGGAAAGGAAGGAAAGAGAGAAGGGAAGGAGAGGGAAGGAAAAGACCCACATTTTATGATTTGGGCAACTGAAGAGGTGGTCTTCACATTCTGAAAGAGAGAGCATAAGAGGATGAACATGTTTTAGCAGAGGGTAGTAATTAATACATTTAGAAACATGTTGACTCCAGGTTGTCTGTAGAGCATCTCAGTGAAAAGTGAAATAGTCAGAAAATATACAGATCTGAAACTCAGAGTAAAGATTTAAGAGTCATCTTCTTGAGCATGGTTCTTGAAACAACGAGACTCAGAAGAGAAGAGGGATAAGTATACAATCTGAGGAATAGGCAGAGGAGAAGAAAGCAAAAGGAGAGGCTAGAAAGAAAGATGAGAAACCAGCAGAACGTAGACTTATGGAGGCCAAGAAAAAGTATACAACATAAAATGATGTGGGCCCTTGTTCAAGATCAGTAAATATGAAGACTAAACCATACGCATTTAATTACTGAGTTGGAGTCATTATCTCATGATGTAGTCATGGTGGGATTCCCATCAGAGAGAGCTGAGGAGAAAGTGGGAGGGGAGGGAGAGGAGGCAGTAAAACTGACAATCCTTTCAAGAATTGTGACTGTAAAGATAAGAGGAAACATCAGGTTTCTTTCAATTGACAAGTTTTCTCATTAGGCTACTTGAAAGAATTCCTGCAATATATAGTGAAGGAAGTACTTCCTATATACTATATAGTACTTCCTATATACAATATATATATACATTTAAATGTACATGTGCCTAATAATAATGCTCAAGAGATAGTATTTTTCTCTGTGTGAAGTAATAAGTATAGTCATTTTGGTAGACTGATGCCACTCCAAAACACCAAGCAATGGGGTATAGCTCAGGGGTAGAGCATTTGACTGCAAAACACCAAGCAATGAATCATAGGAGCCCTTTCTTCTAGATTTCTTCCCAGATACCCACCCCCAATGATACCCATGGTTGCTTATCAATCCAAAGACAATAGTCACACAGTTCCTACTGTCACTGGTATTTTTGGTTGCCATTGTCACCACAGGGTATAGATTCTGCAAACAGGCAGCCCATCTCTTTGGTGCCATAGTTTGCCAGCTTTAATAGTTGACCCTGGAAGCTGAGGGAAGGGAAACTCCATGGCCCCTATTATTGCTCTTCCTTGGAAGAGTTCTTAATGACTATCCATTTCAATTCTCTCTCTATCAGTCTCTCTTTCTCTCTCTCTCTCTCTCTCTCTCTCTCACACACACACACACACACACACACACACGCATGCTGTTTTCTCCCAAAACAAATCCACAGTACACCCAGGAGTCTTGTTTAGCTATATATTGTGTCCCCTTCAAATTTCTTCCAAGAACAGGTATGGGCATGGTTTTCTATCTCCCTAAACCCTTTGCTAATTACAATTTAGAGAAGATTCCATTGTCTTAGTAAGATAATTGTTATATTGCAAAATACACTTGCTAAAGACTGTATTTTCATCTTAATATCATGTGAAGATTACCAAAGTTAAATCTCAGTTTTTCTCTCTTTTTTTATTTTTTTATTGTGGTAAAATATACATAAAATTTTCCGTCTTGACCATTTGTAAATGCAAAATCTATATTCTAACATGGAAGGATATTTATATAGCGTTAGCTTAATCTATAGTGTATATATTACAAAACAATATATACAATATGATCCCATTTTTCTAAATGAACCGGTATCTATCATCTAGCTAGCTATCACCTATCTATCTATCATCTAACCTTTTATTACCTAGTCATCTAAAAAGGATATACACCCAGAGATGTTAACTGTGACTATAGCTAAATATGTGAACTTATATGGACATTTTTTGTTTTTCCAATTTTCCCTGCAAATATTTTCTAGCCATTTTTTGTAATGAGCACACATAGCTTTTATATTAGGGGAAATATAATAAAAGGAAAACTTCAAATTAAATATGTAGTACAAATTCCTTGATAATAAGACTTTAGTATTATTCACCCTCACTATACTTCCTGTATTGAGCAGAGGCCATGCTCAAGAAATACTGAGTGGTCCCTAGTCTCACATGGCACATGGTCTGGAAAGCAAGCTGTCGGAGCCAGAGAGGAGGAGTCCATGACAAAGGGTACTGTGCAGAGCTGTATGACAGTGAATGGAGCAGATGGGGTACAGGAGGACCTGCTCACTAACACTAGTGACTTCAGGTGGATTTCTTTTGTTAAAATTTCTATTTTGACGTAATTTCAGATATGCAGAAATGTTGCAAAGGAAGTACAAATAATTTCCAGGTACCCTTCACCCAAATTCTCTATTTGTTAACATTTTACTACCTTTCCTTCCCACTGTATTTCATGGAGATTTAGACACTTAGAAAGGGTCAGACTATGTCAAGGTGGATTTCCAAATTCTCCTTAAAAGGTTCCCCTGCAGGGGTACCTGGGTAGGTTAGTGGTTAAGCATTGAATCCTTGATTTTGGTTCAGGTAATGATCTCAGGGTCCTGGAATGGAGCCCCGTAGTGGGCTCCACGCTTAGCAGAGAGTCTGCTTAAAGATTCTCTCTCTTCCTCTGCTTATACACACACACACACTCTCTCTCACTCTCTCTCTCTTTCTCTCTCTCTCACTCTCTAAAATAAATAAATAAATCTTTAAAAAAAAAAAAAAGGTCCCACTGTATTAGAAACCCTCTGGCAGGAAGCTTCCTCTTGCAAAAGCTATAAACTCCCTTCCCTTCCTTGCCCCACCCACTCCCATTGCCAAGAACACTGAACAGGAAGAAGTGTTTGCTCAGGGATGCTGTGAAGATAGAAAGACCATGTAAAGAAGGAAGCAGGGTGCTTGAGCAGAAGAAGCATATTCTCTGAAGGTGCCTCTGCCCACCACACCAAGCATAAGGCCACAAGGAAGATCCCCACCTGCAAAGCAGGGCAGCCTTCCCAAGAGAGAGCAGGTGAGTCTGTCTGTCTGCCCTCTCTGCACAGATTGTTGGTCCTTCCCCAATGCCAAGAGCTTTGGGGACACTGTCTTGTCTGTCAGAGTCCTGGCATAGTCTTTTGAGAGTGAGACTTCTGACAGTTGAAATCAGTATGGCCAAGACCACAGAGAAGGTTCCAGAGCTAAGAGTACTCAAAGTCTAGGAGATTTATTTCATTAGATGGAGTTTAGGAGGCAACTGATAAACAGGGCTAAAGTCTAGAGCTAAGGTATGGGTGAAGGAGAGGCACCATGCCAACTTCCAAGGCTCCCAATCACTACAAGATTCTATGCATTTTCTGGGCATGGGCTGTATCTTATTCTTGTATCTAGCTGTCATTGGCATACCTGCCTTTCAAGCCCCCCAAGGTTGCTCTGAGAAAGAAGCATGTGTCCTGCTGGAAAGAAGCCGTGCTCCCAGATGTTTAAAGTGATACTGTGCTCTAATTCCCACAGGTCTCCTCATTGCCTTCAACATGAACTGGCACATGATAATCTCTGTTCTTTTCATAGTGGCGCTTAAAATTGTTGGAATGACCTTATTTCTGCTTTATTGTGAGTATCTGAGCAACCTCCTACTCCAACCTCATATTGTCTTTTTCTTTGACTTTCCTATCAGAACACAAAGTTGAATATAAAGGCTGCACACCTAAGTCTTCCCACCTGAGGGCAATGACCAGTGTAGGGGCAACTGACAATGCTCCTCTCGCTCCCCAGCACACACAATGAGCCAGGTCCCTCGGTCTTCCTTGTAGATACAGAACTGACTAGTGTCTGACAGTTAGAAGGCCACACAAATCTTTTCCCACTACAGTGTTAGTTGGACAGTCTGAGGTGAAATACTTATTAGCGCTTGTCCTTGTTCCTCAAACTTGAAAATCGGAGCCAGTTCAACCCCGTGATGAGGCTGAGATAAGAGCTGCATAATGAGATAATGGGATTTTACCGGGGGTAAAATTTCCCTTTATGTTCACAGAAGCTTTCATCCAGCTGCTTAGAAGAAGCCTTGTATCAAAGGGTTTCACTGTCGCTGTGAGAATCTACTCCAGCCCCAGAAACCAGTAGGGAATGTAAATGAGGAAGGAGACGTGAGTAAAAGACAGCAATTGGGTAAGAGTTGTCTTCCCTTTGAGCCAAACTGAAGGTGCAATTCCTATCATGTAAGAGAGCAGGAAGACAATACGAATAAGTAAACACATTCACAAAAACACACCTACACATCCTCATTGACCTGAGTCAGAGAACTCCAGATCTCACAGTAATAATCAAGGTGCCCCAGCAGCCCCAGGTGATGTTGGTTTGTTATAGTCATGCTGAAGCTCCCTGTGGGGCTGTGCCAACAGCTGATTTTCTTTGTAGTCCCACAGATTTTTGGCGGAAATCAAGTCAACTTCCTTCCCACAGAGAGCTATGGAACAGGTACTGTACACGACAGTGATTTCCTCCCAGCCTCCAGGTTTTTGTGTGTTGACTTGTTATAGTCCTTTCTCAAGGCCTCCTCTCCGAAGAAATTCTTTCCAGGGAGGGTCCACAAAGATATGCTAATTGCTATAGGAGGAATAAGTTCTGGGGGTTTAATGCACAGCATGGTGACTATAGTTAACAATACCATGTTAGGGGTGCCTAGATGGCTCAGTGAGTTGGGTGTCTGCCTTCGGCTCGGGGAGCCCACATCAGCTTCCTGCTCAGCAGGGAGTCTGCTTCTCCTTCTCCCCTCTGGTTGTGCTCTCACTATCTCTCTCTCAAATAAATAAAATCTTAAAAAAAAAAAAAAACTACTGTATTATACACTACTTGAAAGTTGCTAAGAGAGTAGATCTTAAATGTTCTCTCTCACAAAAAAAAAAGGGGGGTAATTATGTGAGGTGTTGGAGGTGTTAACTAACCTTACTGTGGTAAATAATTTTGCAACATATACATGAATCAAATCATCACCTTGTATGCCTTAAATTTACACAATGATTAATGTCAATTGTATCTCAATAAAGTGGGAAAAATAAATGCAACACACACAGAACAAAAAGATCTTTTTTTAAATTTATTTTGAGAGAGAGAGTGAACAAGAGAATATGAGCAAGGGGGAGGGGCCAAGGGGGAGAGAGAGAGAGGAAGAAGCAGACTCCCTGCTGAGCAGGGAACCCACCACAGGGTTTAGTCCTAGGACCCTGGGATCCTAACCTGAGCCAGAGGCAGACACTTAACCAACTGAGCCACCCAGATGCCCCAACAAAAAGATATTCTAATTCATTCCCCTGTTTTTATAGATGGGAAACCCAGACTATAAGCTGATTGAAATTTGTGATCCTCAGTTTTCCTCCTGAGTATGAGGATAATTTGTATATAATCACTGTAATGTTGTGGGAAAGGACTTTATAAACTCTGACATGTTGTACACCTAAAGGAATTGTTATACAAAAAAAAAAAAAATCAAAACCTACATCAGTACTTGTTGTGTGCCAATCACTCTGCTAGACCAACAACAGAAGAAGAAGAAGAGGGGCACCTGGGTGGCTCAGTGGGTTGAGCCTCTGCCTTTGACTCGGGTCATGATCTCAGGGTCCTGGGATGGAGCCCCGCATCGGGCTCTCTGCTCAGCGGGGAGCCTGTTTCCCCCTCTCTGCCCGCTTGTGATCTCTCTCTCTCTGTCAAATAAATAATAATAAATAACAAATAATAAAATAATAAAAAATTTTTAAAAAAAAGAAAAAGAAGAAGAAGAATAGGAGCTATTGGCCAGCTCTTCTCGATAAAGTAAAAGGCCCCATGCCAGAAGCTAAGGGGCATAAAGAGATGAATGAGACATGGCTGTCCCGATCAAACACTTTCACGCTTAAAGCTTTTTCAAGGACCTCTCACTTCCTCTTAAAACATCTATTACTACACACATCTTGAGGAGAAAGTTAATTGTTTGTTCATATTTGTATCAACTGAGGTTTTTAGTACAGTGAGCTGTATGGAAGCAACATTCATCAACTATTTATGGAGTTCTGTGAAGTTATAATCCCCAAACAGTTTCTCCTGAAAACCAGGTTATTTTATAATACAAAGAGCCTTTGAACTGGGAACTGAAATAAAAACTTCATACTAACTGATATAATTCATTCATATCATTGGAAGTAGCCGATGTGGTGTCTGGGTAAACAACAGGGGTCTTGAGCCACACGGGACAAGTAACCGGGCAGATGCAGAGAGGTTTGACCAGCCTTCAAAGCCACTACACTGTCTGCTTGGCGAGCCAGTGTTCCCAGGAAGAAATGAGGCTTCTTAGAGGCCTATCAATTCCCCTATTTATACTTAAAGAAATAAATGGACTCTTCTCTACCTACAGGAAATTGCTGGAATGTTCACCTGACTCCACGTCTGCCAATATCCCTGGTCCTGAAACTATTTCTCATTAGCCTCAATTCTTAGAGCCTGCAGGTGCTGATGAGAGTGGGGCAAAGAGCCGCCCATGGGAGAAGAGTGGGGGTAGGGGCACCAGAGATGGGGAGAACAGCACAGATGCTGTGCGCAGCTGGGAAGGGAAGTGCTCCAAACAGCACCGCCAGAAGCATGTATGGAAAGGAATGAGAGGTTTCCTTTCTGGTACTAAATTCACCCATTCCTCTTCCTTTCTCCTCTTCTATTTCTCAACATTTCATTCCGACTTCCCCCTCAAAAATGATATGAAGTACAACGTGGGGGGCGGGGGCATGACTAAGGAAGGCAGTAGTTAGATGGAAAGTTCAAAGAAAGAAAATGAAAACTTCTAGCCAGGGGTGGCCAAGAGTGCCTTGTCATCGCCACTGTCTAGACACAAAGAGTTGTCAGGACCAAACAGCTGCTCTGATGTTTGTGTTGTACTCATAACACAGTTACCTTCAGGTTTTCTTTTTATTTCAGTTCCACAGACTATCGGGAACAGTAATGTCATCTTAGTTCCCACGGAGAGCCCCGGAACAGGTACAGTGCATCACAATAATCTCTCCTCTATCTCAGCTTCTTATGTGATGATTTCTTAGACACTTTTCCCATTGCCTCCTTGCTTATGGAAATTTCTTGCTCAAAGGAGCCATAAAGAGCTTCTAATTCACCTTCTTCATGTTGTCCACAGGGAAATTCAGACTAGACTGCATGAGATTTCTTCTGGGATTAAGGATGATTTGCAATGATATAACTGCTATAAAGAAACTTACGCCCCACTATGTTCTGACTCAGTTCCAGGGTTCACACCCCAAACCACTAATCCTATACTCTTTTCTTGGATTTCTTTAGTCTGCCCCAGAAGGTGGTATTTTTATCAAAGAAGATGCTTTTTGTTGTCCCCTTTTGAACTGTCCTGGAACAAAAGCAGGGACTTTTGCAAGACAGAAGGATCCACTTTGGCCATTGTTGACACACCAGAGAAATTGGTGAGAATATTAGGATGGTGCAGTAAAGTGGCTCACCCTACAGCCACCTCGGGAAGTGGAGATGGTGGGGCAATTTGGTTGGTGCAACATGGGCTGGGTGGAGGAGAGGAATGGAGAGGTGGCTGGCTGAGACCCCAAGCCCCTTGCTCTGAATCTGGTGGTGAGAGACTTCTCAGTAGCAGTGGGGTATTCTCCTCGGATCATTTGAGCTACAGAAATCCACACTCTATGATCTCTCCCATGAGGCTTAGCAGTGCACTAGTATCCTGGGGATGGGCCAGGATATTTAAAATGCAGGGAATAACCAAATGTGTTTAAAAGTTGTTTAAAAACTATCGAATACTTCATATATGTGAGCTCTTAATGTATCACCCAAGTCGGCCTCAAAAATAAAGAAGATGCAACTTAACAAAATTAGCCATATGAAAAACAAAGGATCAGGTCATAGAATTGGGTTGCAGTGTATAATTATGACAATAAAGATGGCTAACACAATGCAAAAATCTTTATTTTACTATCTCTCTTTATCCTCCTAACAAATCCAAGGAGGTATTATCATTATCCATATCTCAAATATAAGGAGGCTAAGGCACAGAAAAATAATTTGACCTAGGTCATACACCTCCTAAGTGACAGGACAGGATTGGATTGAGATCTCGCTAACTCTAAAACCCACACTCTATATCAATTTTAGATCATAAGTTATTTTAGTTTATAGCTGCCTCTCCTTCAAATCCTAAGAACCTGCTGGGTTATAGGCATGTGAGAGATATTATATGCCTGCTTCTCTGCCCTTCACCTTTCACCCTTCCTCTATAAAGTCCTCCTGTGGTTGAGGAGAATTCATAAGAGGGCCCTCTCTGAATCTTGGTAGCAGGTGTCCAACAAAGAGCAGGGGTCAGGATGCTAGCTCTGAGGCTAAGTGTACAGGTGGAAAGGGAAAATGTCTTATGGAGGAAAGCCAGGAGTAGTATAGGGTGGGGGTGGGGGCAGGAGAGAAAAAGAGAAGAATAGGGGTTGAGAGAGGAAGTTTACATCCTCTTCCTCTACTCAGCCTCAAATTCTGGTGCAACTCAATTGTCATCCTTGGCATTCCCCAGAAAAAGCTCATCACGCCAAAGATTTGCTAGTGATCTCAAGTCTGTATCCCCAGCTAGTTGTCTCTGGACCAAACAGTATATCAAAATCCACACTGATGTTTTAAACATACCACAAATGCACCATGTCCAAAACTGAGTCAAATTATATTTTGCCTCACGTGGTTCCTCTTTTTGTGTTTCAAGTATTGGCAAGCAGTCATGTTATCCAACATTGAATGCTGATGGTTTTCCAAGACTTCCCCTCTTCTCTTCTCCCCTTATTTACAAAAGCGGGCTAAACTGCTGGTTGTACTTTGCCAACCCTTGTCTTAGATCACAATTTCTTTAGGGAGAAACCAATTTGTTTCCATATTCCTCAGCCTTGTACTATGGCTCACTGGACACTCAAGAAATCTTTGTTAAATGAGGAAGTATGGTAACTAATTTTAAAGAATAATGAAATGAGATATTTCAGGGAAGGAGAATATAGGAAAAGGAGGAATAAAGTTAATAGCCCTGGGGATGGAGGGAATATCCAACTGAACTTGGACATCCACTGATTACAGGAGGTATGTGAAGAGTACAGCAAAGAGCCCAGGGACTCCCCAACTTCTAACTGGGGTGATTTGTGATTCATTAGCTTAATAAAGAAACTAATATATCATGGTTTCAGTTTAGCAAATTGGTTTCAATTTAGCAAATACTTAAAAAAAAAACCACTGATTTTTTTCTCAACACATTTTTTTTTTCAACACACTTTTAAATCTCCCTAACTATAGTCCCTTGCTATGTACTCAAGAGATTCACTTGATCCAACGTCATTTGGAATGTAAAATTTCTGGCAATGAAATAAGCCGATGCAGAGAGGCATTCCAAATTAAAAAAAAAGAAGAAGAAGTATTCAAAAACACGCTCTTTTAGATCATATAGTACCCTTCCTCTTCATTTTCAAAGTGTGATCCCTGAAAAGCAGCATCAGCCTCACCTGGAGATTTGTTGGGAATGTAAATTCTTAGTTGCCTACACCAGACCTACTGAACCAGAAGCCCAGTAAACTGTTTTAACAAGACCTCCCAGTAATCCTGATGCTCTGTGCCTACTGAAAACTACTCTAGGGGTTATGGCGAGTGCCAGCTATAGCCAGCCCCAGAGTCCTTTACCAGCCTTCCATGTTCCCAGAATCAGCTATAATCAGGGCCTGCTGTCAAAGGGAGACAGCAGCAAAAAGAAAAAAAAAAAAAAACACCTTTTTGTTGAACTACTTTTTTAAACTTCTAGAAATTTCTCCAGGACAAAACGGGTGCTGAGAAGTATTTTATTGGCTTAAACCAGCAAGCAAAGAACAGATGGCATTGGATTGACAACTCCATATTTAATGGCAAGTATGTGAATATTTCACATTTTTCTAAGGATCTTACTTCACCTTAAGAAACCTGACCTGAGATTCAGTGGGTTTGTCCTGGAATAGCACAAAGGTTGAGACTTGGTTTTTTGTTTTATTCCTCTCCTTTCTTCCAACTCATTTATTTCCAGAGACACATTTTTTTTGGTAAACTTATAAAGAAAGATATCAAACATTTTTAAGTAGAGAAAAGAGTATTCATATGAGTTATTTTGATCAAATCAAGATCTAAACAAATCCATATACATGCTATTTGTTTGATATATCTCCGAAGTGTCTTTTAACCCACAGACCATACTTTATCACTAAGTTCTTATAAACTCCCCAGAAGAGGCTTCTTTATGTAAAACACTGGTGGTGAACATGACATTCCTGGTGTACATATGAAGGTGTTGAGTCAGACAGAAAGCAAGTCAGTTACTCAGCCTACACCTGGGCTTCTCACAGGAAGAAGGAAATTAAGATTCATTCAAAGTCTACTAAATGCCAGGCACTTGCTAAGCACTTACTCACACCATTTCGTACAGTGCTCACAAAGATGTTGTACAAAAGATTTTATTAATCCTCATTTAGCAGCTGAATTGAGGCTGGGAGGCTTAAAAATGTACTGAATATCACCAAGCTGGGAAACGGTAGAGCCACAATCCAATCACACATCCACTTGACTCCAAAACTCATGACCTTTTTATGAAACCAAACTCTTTCCAATAAGATTCAATGACAGAAAAAGGTGGGAGAAGGCCAACATACTCTCTCCTAAAGCCAGTCGGGGCCTACGAAAGGAGGAGCAACTTCTTTCCTCTGCCTCTCAGTCCTCCTGCTGTGAACTTAGCCTATGCAGTATTAAAACATTATTTCTTTTTTTTTATTATGTTATGTTAGTCACCATACAATACATCCATTAGTTTCGATGCAGTGTTCCAAGATTCACTGTTTATGTACAACACTATTTCTGAGAGGAGAAGACAGATGAGATGTTTCTAACCAACCACAAGAGTGAGTTAATCCAAGACCGTGAGTCCATAAATGTTCACAGGAGAGCTCACAGGAGAGCTCACAGGAAAGGGAGGGTGTGGAGCTGGATTTGGAGATGGGGGTGGGGGAGACTGGAATCAGTAAAAGGCATGGCTGAAACGATGCACCTTTACCACACTTTCTCTCCCATTTAGCATTAGCAGTCAGCATGAGAATTTCAACTGTGTGACTATAGGCCTAACAAGGACATATGATGCTGCACGGTGTGACATCAACTTCCGCTGGATCTGTGAGAAGCCAGCCAAATGACTGAAGTTCTCTGTGGCCTCTGATAGTAATGACAAATACACTTTTGGAAAAAACAAAAAAAATATAATTGGGATTGATTCGGGAAATGTAGAATATCAAATTAGTATATCGGTCTTCCACAGGTCACTGACAGAGGTCCCAACAAATCCTCAGGGCTTGGGTTCTGCAGCCCCTTCATAAATATACTTGCAAAGGCACAACAGAGCTAAACTCCCCATTCTGGGCCTGCAACATCCCCAAGACTCCACTTCCTGTGGGTGTCACACCATTGACTCTTTTTAGATCTGCACCAGGCATCTAGTCAGTGATCCCTTTCTCCATCTATCTACTATGAGAGGTCTCTGCCTATGTAGGGAAATGGTCTTCTGGTTTGGGGGACTGGGTGAAAGCCATCTCGAGAAGACAGGGTCATTTTATGGAAACAACTTAGCTGATATAGTGACAAAGTCTATTTCCCCAGAACTGAGCATTTCTGACTGATCAACAGGCTGTTCTGACTGTTGCCAGGCTCTGTTTTATCCTCAGAACACATGCCCCTACGACCAAGGAGAAACTGCAGACTGAGCAGGTGAAGACATTATTTAGAGAGTAGAAAGGGTGGAAGAGAAAGAAACTCGGATTCCTGACCTCACCTCTGTTCCCAAGAGACCCTCATTCTCATGGATCAAGAGACCCATGTTCCCCCTGAACCCCAGGTGGGATAGCAGAGGCCCTCCTCAGTCTGAATTGAGGCCAGGCCTAAGAAAGGGTTCCTGGAATCAACCTTGGAGCAAAGAAAGCACTGTTCACAGGAATGGACAGTGGTCTGGCCAGGGCAGGAATTTCCCAGGGAATCCTTTTGAAAATAACCAGACATCCAAGATGACCAACCAAACTAATCAATGTTTTTTAACAAAGCCCTGAAGAGACACTCAGGCTTAAATTCTCCTGGTCTTGACCGGAATCTCCATTTTAGTATATTTTTATTACCTGACCATGCTTTTTGAGTGTATTCTAAGAAATATAATAGTCTCCTGGTCTCCGGTGGTCATAGCATCTCCAGTGTCTGCCATTTAGAGAAACTCTGCTACCAGGTACAGCCTCATGACCCAAAGATGTCACACCCTTAAACTAATTGGCATCACACCAACTTAGAACTGGTCCAGTTGAGCAAGGAGTAAAAAACAGGGGGACTATTCAAGGAAACATTGTGTATAGGCAAGAAGTAGGCATATAGTAGAGAGGGAACACCAGGGACAAATAGAACTCATATGCAGGAGGAAATGGAGTTCATTTAGCCATACTGGAATAAAGGCAAGATAAAGACAAGAAAGTCTTGAGGCATCCTGACTATTCTCTGCACTTGCAACAAAACATCAGCCACATACCCTCCTCAGTAAATGGAAAGGAAAAAAGAGACACCTGTGTGTTTGGAGTAATAAGAATTAAGCCATAGGGAAGACTGTATTAAACTAATGGAAATTATTGTCACCTAAGTAAATTGTTCATCATTTGTTTCTCATAACAACATACCACAATTACTGTGTATATCATCAGATGTATGTCAAAGAAAATTATTGTTTTATTGTTTATTACAAAGCTAAGTTCTGTTCTTATATTCCTGGGCCTCATAATTTTTGTCCAATTATCATGGCCACTTACAATTTTTAAAAAATGAGAAAATACATTTAAGTGTTAGGCGTTCCTTGAAGTAATTAAAAATAGAGCTTCCCTATGACCCTGCAATTGCACTACTGGGTATTTACCCCAAAGATACAGATGTAGTGAAAAGAAGGGCCATCTATACCCCAATGTTTATAGCAGCAATGGCCACGGTCGCCAAACTGTGGAAAGAACCAAGATGCCCTTCAACGGACGAATGGATAAGGAAGATGTGGTCCATATACACTATGGAGTATTATGCCTCCATCAGAAAGGATGAATACCCACCTTTTGTAGCAACAGGGACGGGACTGGAAGAGATTATGCTGAGTGAAATAAGTCAAGCAGAGAGAGTCAATTATCATATGGTTTCACTTATTTGTGGAGCATAACAAATAACATGGAGGACATGGGGAGATGAGAGGAGAAGGGAGTTGAGGGAAATTGGAAGGGGAGGTGAACCATGAGAGACTATGGACTCTGAAAAACAATCTGAGGGTTTTGAAGGGGCGGGGGGTGGGAGGTTCGGGGAGGCAGATAGCGGGCATTAAGGAGGACACATATTGCATGGAGCACTCAGTGTGGTGCAAAAACAATGAATACTGTTACACTGAAAAGAAATAAAAATAAATAAATAAATAAATAAATAAATAAATAAAATTACAAAAAAAAAAAAAAAAAAGAAGAAGAAGAAGTTGCTTGAAGGAGGTTACCAGAAATAATATGTGTTTGGGGTAGAGTGGATATGGTATTAGCAAAGAATAAATGTTGCAGTTGAGGTGAGTATTAGGGGGAGATGCTGAGTCTATGGTAGATAAAGAAAACAGAATTCTACAACAAAGGAAGCCCCAGAATCCAGAGAACAGAAAGAAAACCACAAACTTTCTGTTTTGAGAAGGGAGAAGTGTGTTGCCACACTTCCTGTTTTATGATAGAATACAATTCAGACTTCCATAGTCAGGAAATGTAGATATCTAGTAATTCCCCTAGTAGCCCAAATTTCCTCCAAGATGAAGATGCGCTTCTGTGAAAGTTCTAAAAGAGGCCCAGCAGGCTGGGGTGGGAGTAGGGAGCATATAGGGAATATGGACCCTTTGGTTTTAAATTCATTACTGGGGGCTACAAGGGTTGCTGGATCCTTAAGAGGGTAGATAAATGTGATCTCATTGGACAGCAGTGGTATGTATGAGGGTTTTTTTTAAAGCAATGGAAATTTAGTAAACCCCTTGATTAGAGTTTTTGACTTTGCTTCCAATATGCGATGTGAATCTATATGGATTTCTTGCTCTTTCTGTCCCTTTCTTTCTTTCTTTATAAAATGAGGCAGTAATACTCCTCTCACAAAATTCATGTGTATATTAAATAAAATGCCCACTATGTACTTCAATGGCAATAAACATAGGGGAAGCACTTTGTGGAAGATTTTAAGCTGAGATTTTTATCCAAGAAGTACTCTTCAATTTCCTAAAAGCTGAATGTAGGAAAGCCACTTAATTTCTCGGAATTTCTGTTCACTCATTTATAATATCCGAATAAAACTGTGTCCAAGTCAGGAAAAGTGCATCAAAAATTCTGTGACTGTCAAGACCATACTTTCCATGGCTCTGGCTTTCATTCACATTACCCATCCTGTCTGTGTGAGCTGCTGTTCCCATGACCAAAGTCATTGACCCCCATCCTCAGATGTTGATAGATCAGGACCGATTCATGACTAAAAACCTTTGCCTATTTTCCCTGCTATTGCCAACTCCCACCCTCAGAAGCCATATCCTTTGGTGACCCTTGCCTTCTGAATAGTCCTGCTTCACCTGACTCTCCCTTAGCACAGGCTGAGCAATAACGCAGTAAAAGTCTTACCCTCCACTCTTACCTACTGTAGACTCTCATAGAGACTATAACTCCTGCAGGGGGTCCTCATGATTCCCTTAGGTATCCTCACTAGTGCCCAGTGAGTCTGTTGTAGCAGAGGTATTTGAGTATCTCTCAAGCCACAATCTTGCTCAACTTCACATTCAAGACTAGACTAACAAAATCCTTCATTCATAGGACATTCCCATAATTGACACATGCCAACGGGTCTTTTTTATGCATTTGTTTTGTCATATATATACTATATATATACATATGCATACATACTTATGTATATACATATATAAAACACCCATATATAACCATACATATTACATACAGGTAATAATACCCATGAAACTGAGCAACATGAAAACTAGAATCTTGTTTTTTCTTTTTTCTTTTTTTTTGAAAGAACACATGTGAGCAGGGTTGAGGAAGAGGCAGAGGGAGAGAAAGAATCTTAAGTAGACTCCACATCTAGGGGGAGCCCTGCACAGAGCTCAATCTCACAACCCTGAGATCATGACCTGAACCAAAACCAGGAGTCAGACGCTTAACTTACTGAGCCATCCAGGCATCCCTGAAAGCTAGAATCTTTATAACAGTTTATATCTACCTCTATGGTCTTCTCCTATTCCACCCTTCTGTCTCCCCACAACACAGGCAACCACCATTCTGATTCCTGTGTTCATCATTCAGTTTTTTAAAAATTCATTTCTGTCTAATTTTTATGTACTCTTTTTAACCTTATAAAAAGGCATTATGATGTAAGGAATCTTTTAGAACTTGTTTTTTCATTTCATGTTAAATGATTCATTTATATTGTTGACGTTCATTAATGCTGATTACTGTATAATATTCTGCTGTGTGACTATATAAACCATGACTGTTCTAGTTGGGGTATATTTGGATTGTTGACAGGTTTTTGCTAACACGAACTGTGCTCCCAAGAACATTCTTCTGGTGTTCATACACAAGAGTTTCTCTTGAGTATATCCTGAATAGAGAAATGTTGGGTAATAGGGTATGTAAATTTTGAATTTTCTAAGATAATGCAAAATAGTTTCCAAAGAGATTACATCAATTTTCATTCCCATCAAAAATATATAATAGAAATATATGAGATTATTATTTATTGACATATGGTCTTCATCTATTTTCCCTAATTATTAATGTATTATTTAGAGTAGTGTTAGGTACTGTAGAAAACTACAAATGTTCAGTAGTTGATCATAATAAAAGTTTATTTCTCATTAATGTACAGTCACGTATTATGCCTGCTGGTAGCACAGACTCTGCTCCACAGAATCATTCAGGGACCTATGTTGATGAATATTTTCTGTCTTCAACATATGGCCTCAAGGATATAAGTGAAAGAGAGAGAGATTATGCATGAAGAAGTCTTTGGTACCAGATGTGGAAGTTGTGTACATACATCACTTCTACTCACCTACCATTGGCTAGAACCCACTCATATGGCCACTCCTACCTTCAGGGGAGAATGGAAATTTTATTTTACCTATGTCTACAAAAAGAAGAAATGTTTGGTGATCACCTAGTAGTCTCTGCCCCAACTACTATGGTTGGATGTTTCTTTATAGGTTTATTGGCT